ATAGACAAAGATAGATATCTGATATCATATCTGCTATTAGATACCAAAGATAAACATTTGGACAAATAGATTGAGATAGATACATTCAGATCTGCATAGATGGATGAACAATATGGATAGACATAAAATGCTCAAATTTTGTTGTTTACATTGATTTGATTACTTGTTTGCACATCATACAAACATGGTTTTCGAAGTAATCGCGAATTAGATTGCTTAATGATTAGCTATATTTGTCAGTTGTATATAAGCAGCTAATAGACTGCATGCGGTGCGGCGACTGGTACTTCGTTGCCTTGCTGCCGCTGGTGCATTTGGCATTTGGCATGTGAGCCACAACCATGAGCCATGGGCAATGTTTCACCTGTAGTCGTCACAGTTATCGGTTAGGTTGACTTGATGTTGATTGGTTCGCTTCAGGTCCGAAGCGTTTTATGATGCTTGTGAAGAGCAGCCGCAGAACGAGCAAGTGCGTGCAACGAGAGCAGCTGGATTGAAGAATTGTCGTGTTCTGGCTTCCCGCACGCCAAATGACGTTCTCACGTTGCCGAGCTGCACTGGAGTGCGTTCCTTCTGGACTGCCATTGCTGCACGCAGCTCACGCAAGATCAAAGTGGGCAGTCTAACCGTTAATATGCAGTCGCATAGTGCAATGCAGTTGATGGGTGCCCGTGCCGGTGCCGGTGTTTGTGTTTGTGCTTCAGCCGCTAAGCCGCTAGCCTGTTGCTGTAAGTGTGATCTTGATTCTGAGATTCCTACGGGACTTGAACAACAAGTTCCATGGAGGTGGAGGCATTTCATTCATTGAGATGGTCACCGGAGCCGCTGAAGTGGACGAGGTGGCAGTGGCCCCAAACAACAAGATGGGCAGCACATAGTGACAATATCCGCCCCATTAGAAGCTAAGCCTACCCAAAGCCGCCAGCCGATGCCAAACCCACATACTAGCTAGCCAGTCCCAAGCCACTCCAGATTCAAACAACCCAGTCGTGCACAATGTGTGCACGATTGGCTTGTTTGAATCTGGAGCCTCTTGGGATTTATGCATGCTGCATCAGGCCTGGAAGGCGTACGCGGACCGAATGAAGATTACCTCGAGGAATGTCAGCTCCTATCATGAGGAATTCTCGAAATGGCTCGAGCAGTCCGAATTTAAAGAGAAGTACACCAGCAACTCGTTCAAGGCCGCGCGGGCGCTTCGGAAGAAGCTCGCAGGCTGCAGTGTGCTGAAGTTTTTCGAAGACTTTTTCAGCAGCTCCACCGACTTCCTCCACGCAGACCTCCAAAACGGTCACGAACGGACACTGCTGACTCTTAACACCCTCACGACGTTCCTCGAAGGGAGTTTCAAGGGCCAAGACGAATCGCTGATCGCACTGGCCATGATGGAATTGTTCAAGATGTCTGTGCCTTCGATTGCTTGTAACATCATGTTTGTCATTTGATTGACTATTGTATTGTGTTAGTTCAGTTCATGTTAAGCCACCAGAAAAGACATATATGTATACATTCACTACATCAATGCATAATCATT